CCATGACAGGCGACAATAAATATCATACATACATACAAAAACAGTAATGTACACACAAAAAACGATCGACATTGATAAAATGTGCATTCCATTAAAGGGATAGGACGGTAAAAATATATTTGAAATAGAAAAAACATTTCAATAATATTTAGATGTTATCTCAATAACCATAGACCATTATTCATGTCCAGTCTGATGACAAATTGTCCTGGAAACTCATCTAAATTAAGAGTGGTTAGTTCAAAGTTGATTACAAATTCCAAAACGAGGCAGTGTGACGAGAGAAGCAATTTGCACCGAGTGAAGTGTTCAAGACAGTAAAAACACATTTGCCGTGAAATGTAATTTTCCAGAGAACATTGCAAATGGGTTATAACAGCTTAAACGGTATCCAGTTTACATTTTTTAACATTTGTCATTGCACCATTCTCCCTTCGGGACCTCCCACTTACATGTGCACTTCAGTTTACTCGATACATTGGATATTTCGATTTTTTTGTTTTTTGTTTTTTGTTTTTTTTGTTATTTCTTTTTTTTTTGTTTTGTTGGTTATCCTGATTTCCTATTCCTCTAGGCACTAGTTTCGTTTACCTTCTCGCAAAACCACGAGTCGCGGTGCTTACCCTTGAGCAATACCAACTATCGCTCATCAATATCAATATATAAGGGCCGTGTATCCTCCCGATAAACCAAGAGTCACCGAGCTTACCCTAGCGCAATGCTAGCTTGCGGTCACCACAGTGGTTTTTCAAAATAGTAAAACAATTCATGACTATATATCGTCACTGTTGCATCGATAACTTAATTCAGGTAATCTTTCTTCGTCCCGTGGGCAGGCAAATTACAAGCTATCAACCGGAAGTACGACACACAATTGCTTGACTTTCATTGATTTATTGGTTTATAAAATCGGAAAAATAATATGATAGTAAATGCTTATGAACATATTAAACAGAGTTCATACTTCAGTGAAAGAAATATGCCCTATGGGAAACCCTGTGTACATTACGCACAGTCAAGTTATTCAAGCGGCGTATGTGTCGCTGGAACGCTTGATGTTGCTACAGGCGATAGTGCACTTAGGGTGATTGTCGCGAGGACGCTTGTAACGATGGTTGACGAGAGGGTTTGCATGAGAGCTGCTTGAGAGGTGGTAGTGATGTGATGGCTGTTATACTTATGACAGCTGTCGAAATCAAAGAAAAAGGACCAGGACAGACATGAAAATGACATAATTTTTACCGTTAACACACAGACGATACTTGGACCTATCATTGTCCACAGTCGTTAAACGAGACGTAAAGGACATTCTAAACCTTTAACACTGCACATTGAAGATTATTTACGTCGTAAAATGTGTTTCGTGGAGCTGTTATTAGAGAACAAAACTGTATAATCAGATGTTCACTCTTGTCAGTTGTTACACGGACTGAATCGGCTCTAGGGAAATCTCTCGTCAATTATTCTTACAACCATAAAACCGACATAGAATAAAGTTTTAAATGATTTTAAAGACATGATATCAACATTTGTAAATCTTTTTAATTTTTCATACCTAGAGGGCAGCTGAAGATAATCAAGACTGATCAAAAGAAATGTCACAATGTAGATCGGGAGGTACACATTATTTATAAGTAATTTCTATGTCACTTTCATGTACATGTGTATATTCTGAACGCTGCCAATATTCGAAGGGATAAAAACGAGTCATACAGGTTATACCAAACTTCGGGGGACAAAATTCACCAGCTGTATTTTCCAATTTCAATCTTAAAGATTATACAAATGACATAAAAGTGAATGACACCTTATATTACAAATTAAGAATTATTTTTTAGATAAGGTGACTTTGTGGCTAGTCTTAAAATCCCATGTCGTCGGTTGAAACCTAATTATAATTTTTCATTGTTTTTATTGTTTATGTGAACTCACTTCGATATGTTATTCTTCATAATGGTATGCAAAATAGTGTTAAAGAGAGACATAACATGATTAGGAAGTTAGAGAGACATATCCAGGAAGTCTGGATGTTGTATCTATTTGAAATAGAGGACAATTAAAAAATGGATACAGGCCGTGTGATATTCTATCCTCAAAATAATCTCCCTTTGCCAGTAAAACCTGTTATATGGTTTGTTTGCTAAATAGATATCGTCCCAGAGTAATGTCAAGAATTTGGCAGAAACAATGACGAAAACGAAATCAGTTGCAAATAACATGCTTTGGTTAATTGTAACTACCCTGCTAACTATAGAAAGTACCATCAACTACCCATTGGAGGTAATTAATGCCCCCTGGTGCACGTGTAAAGACACGTTTTATTTACGCACGATCCTCCTTAAATCTCACGCATCCCTTGAAAACAGCTATAAAGAAGCCAAAGTGTCTGACACTACTTGATTCCAACTTCAGGTCATTGTTGTTCTTGTATTTTTTCTGTAAAGCTTGTTAAAGACTGCTGCACAAGTCCCGTGCATCACACAACAGCGCGACAAACTTTGTAACATGATTCATGAAACAGTACCTTAATTTTGTTAATGAAACGTTTCTTAAAACAGTAATTTTTTTCACCGTTGTAGTTTTAAAGTTATATGACAAGTATACAGCAATGTGATAACTCAAAATGATGATAACTAAAATGGTACCCGATTTAAATATCTATGTCACGAAAGGAAATGTACGATAAATCAGATAAGACATTATACAGTTGTAACAGAGGTCATCATTTATTTCAATGCCTCCACTAGGATTCGAACCCCGGACCCCTAGTCTGACGCGCAACCGATCGAGCTAAAGAGAATCTCTCTCTAGCCTAGCGGTATTTTGCGGCTAGTTTTTTTACCAGGGTTAAAATAATTTCGATATCATTAGTTATTTGATAAGGCAATTTCAGTGAATGCAGATATCGAAGAGGGTTTATATATTAGTTATAAATTACCAAAATCTGTTTCTTCGAGACTCTTTCTAATTATTTCGAAAGCGGTGAAGTCGTACAAATGTTCTGTTTATTGTATCGTTTACCACTGATAGCGTAGACACAATCATTCTATTGTTTTAAAACTAAAGGTAATAACATGTAGATGTTAAGGTTTCAACTCCATGAATATGATAAATAAAACCAATTTCATGTCAGCTACTGTCAATCACTTATATTTAGCGCGGGAATTATTTTCGCGTTAATACGCGCGAAGAGTCAATCGCGAATTTAAATCCCTCACGAAAACAAAATCTTGATCGCATGCATGCTGACTCTGTTACCGGCATATATCTTATAGTCAGAAATTCCAGAATTTAAAGTCATTTCCAGGTCGCCGTTCGCGAAATCAGTTACTCGCGAATATGTCTGAATAGATTAGCTTGCAAAATAAAAGATTCGCGAAATCGAAATGATTTACAGTATACAGACGAGAAAAACGTGATACCGTCCTCTGTGGAATTGTATCTGGTTACCATGTGACGTCAACTGTCCAATGAAATTAGTAGATGTCGAGGTGAATTAGTAGATGACGTATTTTCCGTTGACATGACATAATGTACAATTACTTCGTCCCGGTCCACTGTTCTCGTTATCATATGATCACATATGATGTTAACATTTTGGTGTAACTGTAATTATCGTATCTATTTGTATACTGTATTTGTTTCCTTCTCCAGTCTCTCTGGGAAAAAAATCACATACATCAACCAATAATGTTGCACTCATCTATCTTTCAAAATGTCCTGATATCGGTAGATATTTGTTAGACAAATATAGAAGTATACTGTCCCAATACACACTGACACTCTGCTAATATAACCATTGGTAATTGTATACCAATGTTTTTCTTAAGTTACCAACTAAACTGTCCCGATATAAACACCAACAATATCCCGATATTTATACCGCAAATGTTTTGATATCAACAATGATATTGCTCCAATACACATACTCAACCTCCGCAAAAATTATGACCCAAACTGTCCCGATATCAACACCAAAACTGCCCCGCTATTAACACCCAAGCTGTCCCGATATTAACACCCGAACTGCCCCGATATAACACCCAAACTACCTCGCTATTAACACCTAAACTATTCCGATGTTAACACCAAAACTGTCCCGATATTAACACCCAAACTCCCCCGATATTAACACCCAAACTGTCCCGATATTAACACCCGAACTGCCCCGATATTTACAGCCAAACTGTCCCGATATTAACACCCAACCTGCCCCGATATTTACAGCCAAAATGTCCCGATATTAACACCCGAACTGCTCCGATATTTACAGCCAAACTGTTCCGATATTAACCCCCGAACTGCCCCGATATTAACACCCAAACTGTCCCGATGTTAACACCCAAACTGTCCCGATATTAACACCCGAACTCCCCCGATATTAACACCCAAACTGCCCCGATATTAACACCCAAACTGTCCCGATATTTACAGCCAAACTCCCCGATATTTACACCCAAACTGCCCCGATATTAACACGAAAACCGTTTTTCAATATTATCACGCTGATTGTTCCGATACAGAAACTAACACTATTCACAACAATTAATTGTCTCAACGTTAACGCCATCACTTTGCCGATCAAGACGAAAACGTTCCCGAAATCAACACCTCAACAGTTCTGATAATGATTAAACTGTCCCATTGCTTTAATGTCAGGGGTATTTGTGTAGGCGTGTATGGCGCTGCGTACGTACACATCTCTGTCCCAGACAGGACAGACCATGTTTCAGTACTGATTCACTCCACTAGAGATGAAAGGTTAGACTGGCACGAGACAAGAAGACGTAATAATGCTGTTACATCGTCAATGACATCTGATACCTCTAATATCACAAGACATCCCACCCCCAATAACTTCACGCGCATAGCACGCGCAGCAGATGTTGTCATCATATCTTGTTGTTTCATTGTCAGTGAGAGTATTGATAATTGTGTCAAAATCAGACATATAAGCTTTGTGTTCCAAGTGTTATAACGGTAATAGGTTTTGATGTTGAAGACACAAAAGATGTGTATCAAGCTCTCGAATCCACATGCTGGACCACAGGTGATGCTTGTCAACTCTGGCGAGGAGCATCACACAGCGATGGGGAGCCCATTTTCTCCTTTGCGCTCCCAGTAAGCTTGTTATATAGTTATAGTGTTTTAAGGATCATGATATGTTTATTTGTATATAATCTTCTTTGATGTGTTTTTCTTCATATTCGTCTTAACACAATGTTTATTGTATTGCATAATTAATACATGAAGTGTTGTTCAATACGAATATTAAAATTAATATTCATAGAAGGGACCGAATGATATATAAAAAAATACTCTCACGTGACGTAATCACATTAATGTAATGACTTGGACGCATTTTAAGAACAGAATCGTTCTTCATGAGTTGATAATGTGAATTGTTTTTTCGCCAAGTTTGTTAATATATTGTAAGTGGAAACTTACACAAAACCAACTCCCATAAGATTAGTACAGTTATGTGTAGATTTCAGCTGTTCACTCATATTTCTTTTTACAGGATTAGTTGATTAATATATATTTGTCGGTTAATATCACAATATTTGGCTTAATATCAACACGAACGCACTTCAGATAAAGCGATAATTGAAATATTTCACCATATTTTATATATAATTTTATTGATTGGCTAAATATTGTACAAAAGACACACAAATGAATATTATACTTTGATAAAAAAAAATAAAGAGTTAGATAAATTAGAGCCAAAATTAATACAGCTGTTTCGTTATTTTCATCATGATGTCTTTCATTGCTCATATATATTCAAGGACACTACTTCGAAATACATGTACTTACATAATTTTTGCAGCTAACCTTCCTGATAAAAACTTGGTACTTAAATTATCATTTATGCTACAGCAGTGTTACCATTAAGGCGATGTGCATATTAAAATTGCACAAAAATATAAATGATACCTTTCTATATAATTATTAATGGGATACATTACAGCCGGATCTTAGAATAAACATCATCTACTGATTGCATTTCCCTCAACAGATATCGTAAATTCTTCCTCTTTGAAAACATCATGACTAAAACTCTACAATGTAGTGAATAAAGCCATTTTCATTTCCGAGTTCAACAAAGGTTAACTTGCAGTGGATTATAATTTAGGTACTGCCCATAATGGAAAGGTATAGAACATTGTTAAAGAAGAAATAGATGTGAATCACTATCTGACCTTTGTCACACTTTCCTTAACTCTTTCTCCTTTCTCACCTGTTACATTTCGATTTATCCCACATACATACTTACTTTCTTTCCATTTTATTTGTTTTACTTACCGACTTCATCTAATTAGCTCTATAAAGTGTAAATTTCCAAAGTATCATTTTCAAGAGAAATAGTGAAAATTAGATAAAATATGTTTTCTATACTTCCTTGGCAGTCCATATTCCCAATTCATGACTGTCAATGTTGTTTTCTGGTTTCATTTTTTAAATGTCTGTTCGAAAGACATACAGTGAATTTCACCTTTAAATACAAAAATAGAATTTCATACAGGGAAGCAATTTTATGACAACTACACCACACAACTGTTTCGTCCTTATAGGTAAATTGTGAAAATCTGAAGAGGCAAGAGAAAGGAAAATAGAAAAGTTTCGAAATCAATGTCCAAAATGTCTAGTAAATTTCAAGTGCAAAATGTCTAGTAAATTTCAAATGCAAAATGTCTAGTAAATTTCAAGTGTAAAATGTCTAGTAAATTTCAAATGTAAAATGTCTAGTAAATTTCAAATGCAAAATGTCTAGTAAATTTCAAATGCAAAATGTCTAGTAAATTTCAAATGCAAAATGTCTAGTAAATCTCGAGTCCAAAATGTCTAGTAAATTTCAAATGCAAAATGTCTAGTAAATCTCGAGTCCAAAATGTCTAGAAAATTTTTAGTGCAAAATGTCTAGTAAATTTCAAATGCAAAATGTCTAGTAAATTTCAATAGTAAATTTCAAGTGCAAAATGTCTAGTAAATTTCAAATGCAAAATGTCTAGTAAATCTCGAGTCCAAAATGTCTAGTAAATTTCAAATGCAAAATGTCTAGTAAATTTCAAGTGCAAAATGTCTAGTAAATTTTAAATGCAAAATGTCTAGTAAATTTCAAGTGCAAAATGTCTAGTAAATCTCGAGTCCAAAAATGTCTAGTAAATTTCAATAGTAAATTTCAAGTGCAAAATGTCTAGTAAATTTCAAATGCAAAATGTCTAGTAAATTTCAAGTGTAAAATGTCTAGTAAATTTCAAATGCAAAATATCTAGTAAATTTCAAGTGTAAAATCTCTAGTAAATCTCGAGTCCAAAATGTCTAGTAAATTTCAAGTGCAAAATGTCTAGTAAATTTCAAGTGCAAAATGTCTAGTAAATTTCAAATGCAAAATGTCTAGTAAATTTCAAATGCAAAATGTCTAGTAAATTTCAAATGCAAAATGTCTAGTAAATTTCAAGTGTAAAATGTCTAGTAAATTTCAAATGCAAAATTTCTAGGAAATCTCGAGTCCAAAATGTCTAGTAAATTTCAAGTGCAAAATGTCTAGTAAATTTCAAATGCAAAATGTCTAGTAAATTTCAAGTGCAAAATGTCTAGTAAACTTCAAGTGCAAAATGTCTAGTAAATTTCAAGTGTAAAATCTCTAGTAAATCTCGAGTCCAAAATGTCTAGTAAATTTCAAGTGCAAAATGTCTAGTAAATCAAAATGTCTAGTAAATTTCAAGTGCAAAATGTCTAGTAAATTTCAAGTCCAAAATGTTAAGTAAATTTCAATACTGAAATATTTCTAAATAACTCATAGAAAATACCAATCATGTACAATCATATTGTATTGATATTATCTAGTAAAACTCAAAATTTGAAACTTCATTGTGTAGCATTTTATTTCAGATAACATTATGTCAAAATCTGCAGAGCCATAGTTTTGGTGCGTAAAGAATTCGTGTGCATAGAAATGTCTGCCTGCCATAGTGGAAGGGGTTGCTTCCGACGATGCATAATAAAACTCCCTGAAAAGCCGTTTAGACGAATTGTTTGTGTCTTATCTCAAACTGAGTATATAAACAATTAGTGTCATACGGGTTCTCAAGTGTGAAAGCGAAATGTAAATTTCGAGTTAAGTTTTATCAGCTTAACAAAGTGAGTGTTCATATATTGCAAACACCCACAAAAAGGCATTAAGTTCACATAGACTGGTTACGTATTAAGAATGATATGAAACACTTCATACAGGTAGGAGTGGAAAATAAATTATATAAATCCATTCATCATATCTATCATAAAAAACGTGTTTATTTATCCAAAATATAGCAGAATCTTTAAGATTTATGACTAAGACCCGGTTCATGAAAACATGATTCTGGCAGAAATGTACTTTATGTATTAAAAGGTCGTGAAAGAAGTTATGTTGACAATGTGCTATACTAGAGAGACGAAGGGTCCATGACATCCATAAAGAAACGTCACTTAAAATCAACCAAACGATAACAACAAAAATATCAAACTAGAACTCCCAGGCCATAAAAAACAAAATGGCTAAAACATTCACTGTCAATACTGTAAGACCTTGTGGATTGTTTTAAAACCTGATGTTGTTATAAATCTTCTGTGGTTTGTCATTCTCTGCATTTCGAGGACTATTGAGGATCAAAGTAAGCAGTAAATTAAATCACCGGTCCATTTTGCTCGTCGTTTGACGAATCACTACCGTTATAAACTATATACAAATGACAGGGCTATAGCTAATGAGTGCCTCTCACTTCCAATGTTTTCCAAATGAATTTGTAGATTATTGTGCTAGTCGGTTTTATCGTTAACATATTCTAATATGTGTGGAATTTTGGTATCATTGGAGCCCATTGCTTTTAACTCTGTGAGTTTATGAGAAAAATTGTGTTGAAATGTTTTCCATTTCTGGTTTATATATATTCTGAATTTCAGATACTATGACACTGCGAATATACAAGAGAACATTACTACATCTGGCAAAAAGACAATTAGTAAAAGCCACATGGGCTAAAAACGCATTACAAGGACATTAGGGAAGCGTAGAATGCACAAAGGCGAGTCGCGTGTTATCTCTGTAGAAATCAAAACGAGGTTCACATGCTAAGTCCCAAAATAACTAACATGGCTAGTATTATATGCGTGACATAATCATTTATCTATTAAAGAGATTATATTAATACATCATAGATGATTCTTTCAAAAACGTAGCTCAGATAAAGATGAACATTATTCTTTATATATGCAAAAAAATCGCAGTAACCGCACATGAACAGTGGTGATGGGAATCTTGTTCTCTCCAGATCCTTTGATTCATTCGTATCATTGGATTGTGTCCTCGCATGCTGCAGGTGTTTTCCTTCATTGTATTCATTAGGATAGGTGTGTATTCATCCTATTTGTACATCACTACAACAGTCTGTTGTCTAATAATGAGAAATATCAGTTGCTCTCATGGAAACATTCTGCGTGAATTATGAATTATGAATCATGGTGCTAGTGCCCCCATCTTCATTTTAACATTTCTTTCGATCGTTTTCAATTTTCAACAGTCGCCTCCTAGATTTTAAAATTCAGGCCCTTAGCATGTCTGACTGTGTCTTTAGTACAATCATCAAAGGCGAATTCTAAAAGGACAACTGCATCATGCAATTAAATTCATTCATTTGGCTCTACTGTCTCTAATTCGCAATTTTGTTTACTAGTTTTTTCACGTGTAACTTTTACACACGTGACCAGCCTTTTAATGACATAAGAAACACCTCCAGACATTGATTTGTTTTTTTAAGAATGTTATCATATTTTCATTGGAAAATGCTAGTTAGAAAGACGAGAGGAGAGAAGGATACCAATTTCAGCCCTTCGATCAAATGCAAATCTTACTGTTTATTTGTAGGGAATGGAATTGGAAAATGAAAAATCATGATTTCAAACTGTTCACTCAGATTTTTTAGGTCCGGGCTATTTAAGAGATATATGAGACACGCCCATTTTTCTTAAAACATGCGCAATTTTTCTTTATTTTATGGAAGACTTTCTAAATGTTGTACGCGGCTGAGTATTACCTACTTCAGATATATCATTAAATTAGTTATACAAATCCGAATCAATTTAATTAGGAAATGCCAATTTCATTATGGAACTCTTTTAAAAAGCATATGTTTGTAGGTTAAAGCAGCACATATCTTAAAATCTGCTGGGAATACAACATGAGGAGAAAAGAGGGGTTACATCTCATCCACACGGCACATGTATGACCAGTGACAGGGATGACTACTTACATGGTACATATCAGTATCATATTGAGCCGTATCAAGATTAAATCAAAATCGCATGGCTGGGTATCATAGTCAATGATTGTCCCAGCCACACAGACGGAATACTGCAAAATGTTCCTCCGCCACAAAAAGTAGGTCGCGCATTGTTTCAACATGAACATACACAACCAATCAACCTATGTGATGTGACATGTGCGACCATCACTGTCATTTTAACAACGCTATTGGCTTAGAGCAAGGTCAAGCATAAGGTCATGGTCTATTTGTGTCACATAGAATATCCATCCGCAGAGATTTCCTACCGCGATAAGGACGCTCTACGTTTTATATTTCGTATTATCACAGCTTCTCTAAAATAGAGTAGGATTGAAATTGTTCCAAAGAATGCGTCAAACAGAATGAAAAGAGAATATACTTCATAGGAATTCCTAAGTTCTCCACGTGTTCACATGTTATCCTAAAGAGAATGTGGACCATATCCACTGATTCTTCCAAGCTTCGGTTTCTCGCATAAAAATCTATATAAAATCACCCAAAGTCTTCGTTAAGGATAATGCTCACAAAAATCTTTGAGGAAATACTCTCATGACTTTTCGGGAATATTGAGTTATCTGCCTGTCCATCAAAGCATAGAAAACAATATCTAGCAAACAAAATTGCGACATTCAATGTATTCTGATTTTGTTTTCAAGATAAAATTTGTGAAGTAACGATCTGCAATTTAAATGCCATAATCAAAAAAATAAAAATAAACAAAACAAATAAACAAACAGATAGACAAGAAAAAACCCCCAAAAACAACAACAAACAAAACAAACATCATCTGGCAAGGACACTTTATGATAATACATCAAAACAGATTCCCGACAACATCTTTTTTAATATTTATTAACGGGTTTTTAAAATCAAAATAAATATTCGCCTGTAAATAAGAGAAATCATCAAAATCTATCATTTTATTGAAATGAACGAATCTAGAAAGAAGAATCCGTGTTATGATATTTTGATAACTTGTCCAAAATGATGTTATTGATTTTGTGCTTGCAGTTGACATGTATGCCGTTGATTGTTGAGCATAGCTGAAAATACCCCAAATAGTGATGATCAGCGTTTAGGCAACATACTCTGGGAAGAAATAGATGAGAAATATGTGTCAAAACGGAACCAAGAAATATATATACAAATATATATATAGGTAAAATTAATACGTGTTATACAATGCCCTTCAAAACTAGTACAGATTCGGGATAACGTCTTTCTGTCGTTATTAACAGCACATCAGTGTACAATAGGAATCAGATATACAGAAATTGAACTGTCAATCCTAATTATGCATGGTAGTTTTATCAACAAGCCACCTCCTATATGTACAAGTAATGCACGTGTAACAAGCATAGGCTGCGCATATCTTCATCTGTGTAATGTTCACCCGCACTAAATATAGGAATTCCTTCAAAACAATAACTCTGACCTGCAGTGGGGATATCTGCGATGTTACATAATAGGCACAGTGTTTGTTTATTATTAATCTTAAGGAAAACAAATTTGCTTGTAATTATGGTAAATCTCAGTAGAAGTTTTCTCAATATTTGTTATTATCTCGAAGTTTAAAATTACTAATGTATTATGATGTAGTGAGAGAAGAGAGACATATAATATAATATGTTACGCAATGTTCTTGTAATTAAGTCATCTACATAACCTGCAACTAGTTGATGATGTGTCGTGTCTTTTCCAACAAGAATTCATAAAGTTATTAAGAAAAAAATTGTCAATAGATAGAAGTGTACTTATTTTGCTATTAATAGACATAAAACATATCTATATCACATTCTTCATCAAATTAACGTTCAGTAGGCAACCAATGAAAGACTTCAGTAAATATTTTATTAACTTTCAGTAAATTATTACTTTTATTATAATGGTGTATTAAAATAGCAGTTAATTAACTTGATAATTGAGTGCCAATTGTAAGCAATAAATCACATAAAACACATTTCAATAGGTTATTTAGTAAATTTAGAAAGATATACACATGGCTAAATTAATGCTCGTCATTTGGAGGTAAATCAGGACATCTTAACCTAAACTTCCCTATTAATAGCATCAATAAGCAAATATCCGAACCAATGAAGAAGTCCCATTTGATACGTGAAAATTACTTAATTAATGAGGTGAGGCCTATTAAACAGGTAAACAGATAACCTGTTGTAAATGTAGTCGTATGATTTCAAATAAATATTGAATTGATCAGTGGTAGGCAAGCTCTATTCAGTTGTTTTTATTAAAACTTTTGAATCAAGTACATGTTAGTATACAGACGTTAGTGTATTAAAATTTGAATGGAACATATTTTTGTGATATATTTTATAAGTAAACGTCGCTTTTAATTAGTAGATAAATAGACAAAGAATTCCGAAAATCTCTCGTAACTGAAATAGAATGTTTTCAAACGAATTTATGCTGAAATATATGTGCTATTTGCTTTGAGTTGAGTGCGTATAGTTTAAAAAGATGGCAAGATAACTTTCATTGTTACGGTACAATTTAGGCAGTTGTTTTGCCGTTTAACAATGCTCACCAAAATAACTTTTTGACGTATGTCTTTTGAAACATACAGGCCCAGCTTTTTCTTATCTACAATTCTTTAGTTTAAGGTTTCAAGACAAATATATAAAGAACATAATTTATAGCAACTATTTTAGAACAAACATGTGCAAAGAATAAATTCAGTTGGTTTC